TTTGGGTGAGTATATTATTCACACCACAGGGCTAGAAATTAACTATAACTAAAAAGGATCCAGATTTAGCTGAGATACCACAAGCCCGCCTCTGTCCTGAGTTGGGTGACCAGACAGCAAATGTGAAAAATCCGGACGGGGGTGGGGGGCAATAGGAGCCTTTATAAGAAAAAGACCCAAAAATTGGGACTGTCCCTATAAAATTGGGACATCTGGTCACTCTAGTCTTTAGTCGTCGCTATTCTTAAAATACCACTTGGATATACCCAGCTGAGATTGGAGCCCTGTTGTGCCAGGGATTGTACAACCCGATAGTGCGAGCCATCCCTGTCCCAAAGCACTGACAGTCTAAATAGACAAGACAGACCAAAGGGAGGGTTGTAATTAGCGGTGGTCTGAAAAAATTTGGCAAAAGGGTTTTTGCAGAAAATGTTCTGCAGGAAAGTGTCGTTTTTGACAGATATCTTGACTCTAAAACATTTTAAGAAAAAAGATTTGAAGACGAAAAATTGGAGATGACAAATTTCAGTTTTTCAGTGTAAAATGACTTTTTGTTTAGAAATCTGAGCTAATATCAGAAAAAAATGTTTGGAAAATACAAAATGGTTGAAAGATAAACAAAACGTTTCAATTGACCAAACCAATTTTTTTTTTTTTTGAATTTTGAAATATTTTGAGATTTCAACTTTTTCATCCTGATTCCAGGCTGGAAATATTTTTGGAATTTCAATGAATTTGCTCTGGATGGAAAACCTGCCCTGCTCTATTATTATCTTCCTTTTACAGATCGGGAAACTGAGGCACGGGAGAGCCAAAATGAGTTGCCCAAGTGTCTGTAACTGAACTGGGGATGGAGCCCTGAATTCGTGAGTCCTCATCTTATGCATTAACTCTGAGGCCATTCTTCCTCATAAGGCTCTTCTTGCTGTGGTGTAGTTTTGATGTCGATGAGTGTCTTCGTATGTCCAGTACTGCCAGAGTCAGCCTAGTTGGCTGATTGGCTTAGTGGAGGTGTCCTTTGTTTGTTCCATGCTGCCACTCATGCCTTGCAGCTGAAGTGCTAGGGGTCTCAATCAAGCCATTTGGGGTTTTTTAACGAAGGATAATATCTGAGTAAAAAAAAAATAGATATTATCCTAAGACTGTTGCGTTATAGGATGTCATATGTCTTGGTTCCCAGGTACCAGTGACTGGCATAGATAGACTGATACATATGGGGATGGGGGGATGTACATGGGGATAGATGGATGGACAGATATTTCTTTTGGGTCATGTTGTATGTTTGCTGGAGGGAGGGAAAAGCTGAGGAGCTCAGCAGAAGTGGGGCAGTTCTGTTCTGTGGGGTTGAGCAGGGCAGTGTGAGCTCACATAGCCAGTCTGTGCCCCGTCCCACAGCTCTGTGAGGGCCCCTGTCTGACCTGGGCAGACTCAGAGGCAGATCTGCCATCTGCACTACAGAATCAATGAGGGCGGCAGCCTGTCATGGGGAGGGAAGTAGGAGCGGAGGCTATTGCAGGAGCAGCTACTGAGTGCAAACCATGGCCCAGCTCCTTTCTTCCTCCTTCCCCCAGGGGTGCTGGAACAATTTCTACAGGGGGGTGCTGAGAGCCATTGAACCAAACTCTAAACCCCGTATATGATGGAAACCACTTCAAGCCAGGGGGTGCTGCAGCACCCCGCACAGAACCTAGTTCCAGCACCTATGCCTCCCACTCTCATCCAAACCATGGCCCAGCCCCTCTCTTCTACCCCCCCCCTTGCAAACCAGGGCCTGGCCCCTCTCTTCCTCCTCCCCCACAATTTCCACCCCTCTCTCTTGTTTCTGTGTTTCCCTGTAAGTGCCGGCCAGTGCTGCGTGGCTTGCAGGAGCGGTGGTTTAAGGTACAACCACTGTTTGGGGCAGAGGTGCTGAGATTGCTGGGAGTAGCCAGTGTGAGGGGCTGGATCTCACAGGGGAACGATTTGAAGGGACTCGGGGACTGGGGTGCAATGACTGGTACCCGCAAGGCCAGGTTAGGGCTGGCATTGCCCAGAGGGCAGTGCATGAGGGAGGGAGCTGACACCCAGCTACCACAGGGAACGCCCTTTTGTTGGAGCCAGGGGTGACAGGGCGACTCACAGTCCTAAGCACACTCCAACTTCCCCTCCCCAGAACAATGGGATGGGTCTCCTGCTCCTCCCCCGTCCTTTCTCCCTCCAGCAACACCTGGCCTGGAAAGAGGCCATGGGAACCTCACTGCACCTGCCCCCTTCTAGGCCTGGGAAAGGGGGGTGAAGAACTCCTGCAGTTGCAGGAGGAGCAGAGATGGGGCTGGGGGGCAGAATTGCTGTGGGGTTTGGGACAGTACGTAATTCATTGCTGGGCTGGCAAAGGGGCAGATGTAGGGCTGGCGGTAGAGCTGGGAGGGAAACATTTTTCCCCATCCCTCCTGAGGCTTCAGGATTTTGACATTTTTTCCCATCTCGCATTAGGACAAAAAATCACAATGTCCAAAAAGTTCGCAGACCGATAAACCTAAGTAAAAAGTCCAGCTGGGTGACTCAAAACATACCTTTCAATTTCCACCTTTTTCATCTATTTTTTTTTTCAGTAGCAATAAAAAATTCAAGATGGTCATTTAGAAACTGAAAACAAAATGTTTTGTTTTGAAAAGGGATATTCGGACAAATTAGACACCCCGCCTCCCCTGATCTGTAAATCTGGGATAACGGTCCTGACCTCCTTTGTAAAGCGCTTTGAGAACCAGGGCTGCAAAGCCCTAAGCAAGAACTAGGGATTAGTAACAGTGGTCATCAAGTGAGTCCTTTTTTTCACACTGTCCTTTATTGGGTCAGGGGGTTGCCTGATTGGTAAATGCAAAAATCACAATCTAATAATCTAACTAAAATCAATTTACTTAAGTTGAGCATAGTTCTGTATGAACCCAACAACAACAATGTAACAGTCTCTCTTCCTAAGAGATCTTTATTTACAAATCAGCTTCAAGTGTAGTTTCATGGTGCATTAAAACCAAAGACGTGGGGTTCTCAAACTGTGGGTCGTGACCCCATTTTAATGGGGTCACCAGGTCTGGCGTTAGACTTGCTGGGACCCGAGGCTGAAGCAGAAGCCTGAGCCCAACTTTCCAGTGCTGAAGCCCTTGGGCTTTGGCTTTGGCCCCCGCACCCGAGGCGGTGGGGTTCAGGCTTCGGTCCCCGCTCTTGGGGTCACGGTGTAATGAAGTTTGAGAACCGCTGAATGAGAATCACAGACTTCGCTAAAGCTGATGGGTGTGCCAACCCCCGTTTCAATTTGTGGAAGAAGCAATTAAGCCCCTTTATACAGGAGAGCCAGCTACAAAGAATGAAGTGACCCCCTCTAGAAGCTCAGAGCTACACCTGCCTGCTGAGGGGTTTCCTGGGTTGCAGACACAGGGGCTAGGAGGTTGGTTTTGCAGCCTGAGTGTGCTGGAGGCAGGAAGTCAGAAAAAGTTGTGGGAGCCTGAGAGGATGCAGAGAGGCAGGGCTTCTTGGTTACAGAGCCTGTTGGTGGGGCAGACTTGGGGATTTCTGAGCACAGAAACTGTTGGCTGTTGTTATTTTCTTCTGTGCTCGGGGAAACAGACCTGTGTGCATTCTTTGTGAATAAACTAGATTATATCATGAACTCCCGGTGCGATGCTGGGGCTTAAAGGGCCAATGCGATCCTTAGTTGTATAAACTGGGGAGTAGTGAGTAGGAGCAGGGAGGAGATTTTACCTCTATGTAAGGCACTGGTGAGACCCAGAGTGGAATACTGCCTCTGGTGCACACATTCTTGAAAGGACATTGAAAAACTGGTGAGGGTGCAGCTGAGAGCCAGAGAAACAATTT